AGGAAGGAAGGAAGGAAGGAAGGAAGGAAGGAAGGAAGATGCTATTAGGCCACAAAAAGACAAGGAGGAGCCTCAAGTGCATATACAACTAAGTGAAAGAATTCAATTTAAAAAAGATACATACTGTATAATTCCAGCAATATGACATTCTGGAAAAGGGGAAACTATGGAGAAAATGAAAAGATCAGTGGTTGCCAGGGATAGGGTCAGGGGAGATGAACAGGCAGAGCACAGAGAATTTTTAGGATGGTGAAAATACTCTGCATGATTTTATAAGGACGGATAAATGTCATTATACATTTCTCTAAACCCATAGAAGGTACAACAGCAACTTATGGTAAACTTTGATGATATATCAATACAGGCTCATCCTTGATTAAAAAAAAAAAAAAAAAAAAAAAAAAGGCGCCATTCTGGTGAGTGATGTTGATAATGGTGGAGGCCATGGCTGTGTGGGGACAAAGGGTATATGGAAAAATTTCTGTATTTCCTTCCAAATTTTGCTGCATACCTAAAACTGCTCTAGAAAAAATAAAGTCTTATAAAAATGAGAAAGAAGAGTGCCTATCAAAGAAAGGGAGAGGCAGTATTTGAGGCCACCTCCTCACAATTATTTGGCCCCAGTGATTCTCTTCTCGTTTCCTTTTGAAAATGAGTGTAAATAAAACCTTACCTAACAAAAAGCTACATGCAAAAGAGACCTCCATTCTTCAAGGGGGATAAAATGGTGGGTTATTCTCTTTCCCTTGAAGAGTTCATCTTTCCTTCTCCTAGTTCACCACTAAGCAGCTCTGAATCATCTCTGCCCAGCCATTCATTCACCAAATCTGATTTGAGTACCTATGTTGTAGCAGGAACTGGTACAACTGCCAAAGAGACACAAAAGATACTTATTCTGGGGGCGCCTGGGCAGGTCAGTCGGAAAGCAGCCTACTTCGGCTCAGAGATCATGATCTCGCGGGTTTGTGGGTTGGAGCCCCGCGTTGGGCTCTGTGCTGATGGCTCAGAGCCTGGATTCTGTGTCTCCCTCTCTCTCTGCCCCTCCCCCACACACACTCTGTGTCTGTCTCTCAAAAAATGAATAAAAATGTTGAGGAAATTTTTTAAATTACTTATTCTGATAGAACTTACATTATAGTAAGAAAAAAGCTGCATTGGCTCCAAATCCTACAGATATAATACAAAATTTAATAATTTCTCATCACAACTAAATTCCACTCCACTGAAACCACTAAGTGGTACCGTCAAGTTTGTATCATGGGTCTCAATGCATTTAAAGTTTTTTTTTTCTATTTGAGTATGACCCATGGGACTTGGGAAATACTAAAGAATTATATGGAACATCAAAGTTTAAGCTAAATATGCTCTTAATATTTGCTATTCATGCCATATATTATAAAAGGGAGATTTTTAATTAACTACTTTGCTCAATCAGTTAAATCAGGCAAGTCAGTCCTGAGATAACACCATAATTTATTCAAATAAGAAACTGTCCAATTTTCATTTCCATGTGTGCTGTAACCCTGATGTCAATGACTGTACTGATGCTGGCTTCTGTTCTAACTCTTCTCTTCCCTAGTCTTTCATTGGAGTTATCGGCAAGGAACAAGATGGGCTGACATGAGTTTCTCATCTTTTCCTAACAGCTTCCATAAAAATTTGTTGAGTTAATGATCTATTTTTTCATGCCAGAATTTCTGGTGTTGCTAAAGTAGAAATGAAATGGCCAAGAGAAAAGTTGAAAGATGGGGAAACTGCCCTGGATTATCGTCCCCAAAAACTTGAAGGTTGGCTAAATTCAGACCATAGAATTAGAATAATTCTTGGGAGAATAATTTCTTGAGAATGACTGTATAATTTTAGGGGTGTCTACAGAGACGTTTATGGCAAATAAACACCAATATTTATGAAAATAGCATGTCTAAGGAATCAGAGCATATGAAAACAATCTTTTATATGGTATAAATACAACAATACATATTTATTAATTTGTTTGGAATGGCAACTTCTGCCCTACACCTAAGGCCCCCAAGGAAACAAGAATCATGAAAGCATTCCTAGGTTGCCAGGAACTACAGTATAAAATAAAAGGCCACAGCATGTCTCAATTTACCACTCCATCTGGGTAAGCCACCTTAACTTTTTCCCTAAAACTCAAAAAGTTGGGGCAATTCAGAACCTGAGAAGGTGTTCACTAAACATACACCCTGTTCATATAATTTCTTGTCTCTATATCTAACAAAAATCATTTTTTGAGTACTACTATAAGGCATGCATTTGGTATGCATTTAAGAAATCCTTTGCCTATCTGATTATTAAAATCTACCCAGCATGTAAACCTGTTCCTATAATTGTATATGGAGAAAACCATTTAAATGGTTCTAAAGACACCAGTTTTAATCTTAATGCATTCCATTTGATTCACATGTTGGTTACATGTACCTAAATTATCTTCTGAAAGCATTCGTATATAATCCAAATATTTTACAGAACCACAAAAACAACTGTTTTCTTTATCCTGCTACAACAACCTAAAAATGTCAACATAAGCAGCAGTATTTTATTTATTTATAACATTTATTTAGTCTTGAGACAGAGAGAGACAGAGCATGAATGGGGGAGAGGCAGAGAGAGAGGGAGATACAGAATCGGAAGCAGGCTCCAGGCTCTGAGCCATCAGCCCAGAGCCTGACGCAGGGCTCGAACTCACAGACCGCGAGATCGTGACCTGAGCTGAAGTCAGACGCTCAACCAACTGAGCCACCCAGGCACCCCAAGCAGCAGTATTTTAAATAGAAACACCTTTTTTGCAGTTGCTGAGTAGGTGGCATTGTGATTAGAAGTACGGACGCGAGTCAGATTATCTACATCTGCATTCTACCTCCACCATTTATGAGCTTTGTGGCCTTGCGTAAGTTACATAACTTTTCTGTGGCAAAGTCCACATTAGTAATAAGGTGATAACAGCACTTACCTAACAGAGTTGGTGAGAAGATGAAATGAGATCTCTCTATAAAGTGCTCAGTAGGATGCTTGACACATAAAATGCACTCAGTAAATATTATCACCATTAGGATTAGGCCAACAATGTTACTATTTCATGAGCTCATTCTGTTATGGTTTCATACAAACAGAGCAACCGGTTTTGCATTTTTATAAATGTTTGCAAAAAATCATAAGGCAATAAGCAAAATATTTGTTATGTAAGAACTGGAACTGGAAAAACCTGTGAAACCCACCTGCTAGCACAAAGATATGGTTTCCTGGTTCTCCTTGCTTAATAATGTAACTCCCTTGCTGGTAGTTTCTACCATACATGCATTCCACCATGTCTTTGATCTGCTGAGGATCCAGTCTCTTCAGAAACTGATTTCTATTAAGGGCATCTGTAATGAGCTTCTTCTCGCTGGTGTAATGGCAAAAAGAGATTACGTTACAATTAATGAAAACCATGTTTTGCTATTTAGATTTACCTCATTTAGATTCTAGTACTTACAACTTTTACAGCAAGGACAAATTGTTCTTCTAGTCCCACCAACACTTGACCCATGTAACTGCCCTACTTTACATGTAAAACCTTTGAAAGTATTTTTGAATAGTTTTCTGTAATTGGTATTACATCAATTTTATAATCACTCCTGGCTGCCATCATCACAAGTGTAGCATCTCTCAAGATCCCTAGATTAATGTTAATAACATGATACATGATTTTTTTTTTAGGTGGAAAGAAAATCTGGTTGGTTGGTAGAAGGTGTATTTAAGAAACTACAACACAGTATTCATTTTTATTTTCATTTATTCATGTATATTTGCATGCATAGTGCCTATAGTACTAGCTATTTTATATCTTATTTAATCTTTACCACCATCCTGTGAAATAATCACTATTGTTACTTTACGGATAAGTAGCCTAAAAAGCAAGCAACTTATTCCCTCTAGGATTTAAATCCAAGTCTGTGAGTCTGAAGCCTGTATGGCTTCCATTCCATCCCCTGCCTCTTCTGAGCCAAGGCAGTCAGTTCCCTTGGGACTCACTAGGTTAGATCAGACACAGAAGGTGATGGTAGTAGTCTGGGTTTTCCTAGACTTTGACTCTTAGCATATCTAGACTAGACAGAATATGTATTTCCAGTCTCATAACCTGTTCATTCCTCAAATCCAAGGCCCTCTTGTTGATAATCCTGAAATACTCTGTTTTCTTTGGGAAGAAAAGTAGCTTCAAATAATTACCCAATCTTAATTACCATAACTTTCAAATGTTTTAATCAACATACTTTATATGCAGCTGTTATAGAATTATTGAGCTGGCAGAAAAGTGAATTTGTGGGCTAAGTTAGACTCTGCACAACATACTTGCTTTCAGTCAAACTCAGCATGATTTTTTTTATGTAGTTTTTTTTTTTAAGTTTATTTTTCAGAGAGAGAGAGAGAGAGACAGAGAGCATGAGTTACCACAAGCAGGGAAAGGACAGAGAGATGGACAGAGAGAATCACAAGCAGGCCCCTTGCTGTCAGCTCAGAGCCTGATGCAGGGCTTGATCTCACAAACTGCAAGATCATGACCTGAGCTGAAATCAAGAGTTGGCCGCTTACCTGACTAAGCCACCCAGGTGCCCCAAATTCAGCATGATTTTTAAAAACAGGGTTTTTTTTTTTTTCCTGCATCTTTCATTCAAACTCTTTCCCATCACTAGCTTTACTGTTTCAAAACTTGTGCTATTTTTCTACACAGAAAGTTCTCAAACATAAAGTAGACATAAAGTAAACTTTCACGGGATTGGATACTTCCTTCAAAACCGCATCCATCAGATCATTAGGCTACATTAAGAAAACAATGAAGAAATTCCTTCTGCCCTATAGTGACTCAGAGCCATACAAACTCTTTTGAGTACCTTGAAAACTTACTTCTTCCTGCAACTAATTTATCACCAAATCTTGTCATTTCTCTTTACAAAATATCATTGTTATCCATTTTAGTTTCCATTTTCAAAGATGTCGCCACAGTCCAAGAAAAAAAAAATCTTAGGTTGGGAAAACTTTTAATACGTTCTTTTTTAACGTTTCAGCTTCTAGCCTCTTTCCCTCATATTCTATTCTATACTATATTATCAGATTAATCTTGCTAAAAAAAACTGATTTAATTCTGATCTCATTTTTTCTTTATCCTCTAAAGCCAAAAAATCATTCATTTAATATATACTGAGAAAATACTTTTGCTACATGTTCTCAGAGCAAGCAGTAGAACTGTGAACAGTACCAAGAAAGCCCCATCTTTCATGGGCCTTCCATGATCTTGTAACATTCCAGCTAGTGTTTCATCAATGCCCACATATCCTAATTTCCCAAAATATGTTCCAGGAAGGGTTCTTCTTTCATAAGCAAGAGTGTGCTGAGTTTGAACAATTTTGGAAATTTACAATGCATACTTTCAGAGTTCAAAGAAATATTTCAGTAAACAAATCTGTTAAACCAATGTTTCCCAAACCTCAATGTCTGTTATATTTACTTCTTCTTTTGGCTTAACTTCTACGAACATTCCATGGAAGTAGTCTGAAAACCCTTTTGCCCATAGAAGAAAATCAATATCCCACAATCTGGTATTCACCATTTCCCACCACATGGCTCTACTCCATCCATCTAGTACTCACTTCATAAAACAAACCCTTTGCTACAGACAGGCTGGTATCTTGTCTCCTATGCCTGCCAGCTTTATCTTTAGGCTTAGCCTCTGTTTTCTCCTCCAGTTTAACTTAATTTCTTCTCCCTTCAACCAGCCCAAACCTTATAATTATCCCATTATGATCTAGGCAAGGATGCTATAGTTCACACAATCTTCTAACTCTACTCTAAACTCTTAGAGTATTATATTCATGTCTATTAAATTCAAAAATTTTATCAAACATTTACTTTGGGTATAAAAATTTATTAAACATGTTCCATGGCCTCAAATTCTTTAAACTTAATTTACTGAATAACCATATTATAATATTGTATTATTAGAAAAGAGTTGTCTCTATGACTTTTCCTCCAAACCAGATTATAAATCTTTGAAGGACTGGGTCTTCTCTTGAATTATCTGTTTAAGAGGCAACAGATAGCAGTGCCTACAAGTATGAACTTTACTGCTCCTTCTACAACTATGATAGGCAAGCTATTATCAGAACAACTCTCCCTACTCACACAACTACAAAAACTAATTAAATTAATATACTGCAAACCTGCTTTTGAAAGCACTGGAGACCTATCAACATAACAGCTTGAAAAGCCATGATCCACTAGAGAATATAGGGGCACCTGGGTGGCTCAGACGGTTGGGCATCTGACTTTAGCTCAGGTCATGATCTTGGTGGTTCACCAGCTAAAGACCCACATGGGGCTCTGTGATGACAGCTCAGAGCCTGCAGCCTGCTTCAGATTCTGTCTCCCTCTCTCTCTCTTCCCCTCCCCAACTCATGTTATCTCTCTCTCTCTCTCTCTCTCTATTATTCTAAATGAATAAACATTAAAGAGAGAGAGAGAGAGAGAGAGAGAGAGAGAGATAATATGAGCTTGACATTCGTATCTGCTTTTCCCTTCAAGGCATTTGCTGATTTGTAGTCAGCACTGAGCAGAATTTTGGCAGTCTCAAAGGATTGGGAAGACCAGAGTCAATATTCAAGGCACCCCATGAAGGAAGAATCCTGGTAAACATCCAAGATTTCAGATGGGACAACTGCAGGGCTGTAACCTATGAGTAAATACAGCAGCCCAAAAGAGGCTAGCTCTGGAAAAGACTGAAAACCAACTTCAAAATGACAAATTCCTATTTTGGTTAAAATGATTTGCCCCTAGCCTGCCTTCCAGAAGCAAAGGTAAGTTTTTTCCATAGGATGTTCACAAAATCTAGAGACTCAAATTTTCTCTAGAGTTTTTCCCTAAAGAGTATCTGGCAAAATATCAAAAGTTACCAGGCATAGCAGGAGAAAAGACCAAATGACTGAAGACCAAGAGAAAAAAGACAACAGAAACAGACCTAACAGACCAAGATATTGTAGGTGTCAGACAGACTTTAATAGAATTGTATTTAATTATTTTTAATAAAATCAAAAACAAAATGGAGACTATCAGTGGAGAACACAATTTTTTTTTGCTTTAATCAAATGGAAATTCCAGAACTGAAAAATACATAATCTGAAGCTTGAAATTCGACAGATGAATTTAAAATCTGCAAGACACAGCTGAAAAGGATTAGAAACTGAATACTATAAGCAGGTAGAATATATCTACATAGGCAGTTAGAGAGAATATAGGATGGAAAATAGTGCAACAAGAACAAAAACAGTACAAAACATAGAAGACGTATGAGTCATCACAGAGAATTTGGACATAGGTGTAATTTCTTCCCTGAAGAAAAGGAAAGAATTGGACTGAAACAATATATATAGGGATCATATTTAAGAATCTTCTTAAATCCATGAAAAGATATTGAATCACAGACAAGATACACTATGAACTCCAAACAAAACATATCTTTAAAAAAACCATACCTAGGATCATCATAGTCAAATTGCTGAAAACCAAATAAAAAGAGAAAAATCTACAATGCAGATAAAGAAGAGATACATTACCTCAAATAACCAACAATATAACTGACTTACTCCTCAACTGAAATAATGAAAGCCAGATATTTGGAATATCTCCAAAAAGCTTTAAAATGCCTATTTCCAGTATCTTTACCCAGTGAAAATTGTCTTTAAAAATACAAGTGAAATGAATACACTTTAGAACGTCATTCCATTGGCAACAGACTCATAATAGTGGAGAGCTCCACACAAACAAAATGATCCCAGATGGAAACTAATAGACGTTAGAAAGAAGCAATGGAAAAAGTAATAATGTGGATGACTAAAGAAAGCTTGTCTTTATAAAGAAGTAATAGCATAATAGCAATGTCGTGTTTAAGTGGTACAGTCACTCTGGAAAACAGTGTGGAGGTTCCTCAAAAAATTAAAAATAGATCTACCCTATGACCCAGGAATAGCACTGCTAGGAATTTACCCAAGGGATACAGGAATGCTGATGCATAGGGGCACTTGTACCCCAATGTTTATAGCAGTGAAATTATGGAAAGAGCCTAAATGTCCATCAACTGATGAATAGATAAAGAAATTGTGGTTTATATATACAATGGAATACTACTTGACAATGAGAAAGAATAAAATCTGGCCATGTGTAGCAACGTGGATGGAACTGGAGAGTGTTATGCTAA